ATTGGGTTTTAATTTGCATCTCTCTGATGGGTAGTGATGCTGAGCATCCTTTCATATGTCTCTGGGCACTCTGTATGTCCTCCTGGGAAAAGTGTCTGTTCAGGTACTTTGACCATTTTTTAATTGGATCGTTTGTCTTCCTGGTGTGGAGTTGTGTGAGGTCTTTATATATTTTGGAGATCAAACCCTTGTCTGAAGTATCATTGGCAAATATATTTTTCCATACAGTTGATTCCCTTTTCATTTTGCTGATGTTTTCTTTGGCTGTGTAGAAGCTTTCTATTTTGTTGTAGTCCTATTGGTTTATTCTTTCCTTATATCCTTTGCTCTGGGGGACATGTAGTGAAAATATTGCATGGAATATCTGAAATTTTTCTGCCTGTGTTCTCCTCTAGGACTTGTATGGTGTCCTGATTTATACTTATATGGTGTCCTGACTTATACTTAAGTCTTTTATCCATCTTGAGTTTATTTTTTTGTATGGTGTAAGTTGGTGGTCAAGTTTCATTTTTTTTACATGTAGCTGTCCAGATCTAACACCATCTGGTAAAGAGGCTAGTTTTATTCCATGTTATGGTTCTGCCCCCTTTTTAGAATATTAATTGACTGTAGAGACATGGTTTTATTTCTGGGCTCTCTATGCTGTTCCATTGTTCTATGTGTCTGTTCTTATGCCAATACCAGACTGTTTTGATTACAGTAGCTTTGTACTATAGTTTGATATCAGGTATTGTAATCTCTCCTACTTTGTTCTTCTCAAAATTGTTGATGCTGTTTGGGGTAATACATGATTCCATATAAATTTTTGAAATGTTTATTCTATGTTTGTAAAATATGTCATTGGCATTTAATAGGAATTGTGTTGAATCTATGAGTTGCTTTGCGTAGTATGTACATTTTCATAATGTTAATTGTTCCAATCCATGAACAGCGTATATGCTTCCATTGATTTGTGTCTTCCTTAATTTCTTTCTTCAATGTTGTGTAATTTTCTGAATACAGGTACTTTTGTCCTAGGTAGTTGTATCTTTCTTGTGGCTATAGTCAATGGGAATTTTTCTTCTGATTTCTTTTTTTGATATTTCATTGTTGGTATACAAAAATGCCTTCGATTTCAAAATATTGATTTTGTATCTTGCTGTTTTGCCAGATTCATTTGGTAGGTCAAGAAGTTTTTTGAGGGAGTGTATAGGGTCTTCTGTGTATACTATCATATCATCTGCAAACAATGACAATTTTACTTCCCCGTTTCCAATCTGGATGCCTTTTATTTCTTTTTCTTGTCTGATTGCTGTGGATAGAACTTCCAGTACTATGTTGAATAGAAGTGGCAAAAGTGGACGCCCTTGTCTTGTTCCTTACTCTTAGTGGGAAAGCTTTTAGTCTTTGCCCATTGAGTATGATGTTGTCTGTAGGTTTCACATATATGGCCTTTATTACGTTGAGGTATGCTTCCTCTACTCCCACTCTGCTGAGTGTTTTTATCATAAATGGGTGCTGTGCCTTATCAGATGCTATTTCTGCATCCATTGATATGATCATGTGATTTTTGTCTTTCCTTTTGTTTATGTGATGTATTATGTTTATTGATTTGCAAATGTTGTACCATGCTTGCAACCCTGTGATGAGACCCACTTGATCATGGAGTGTGATGTTTTTAATGTATTGCTGAATGTGGTTTGCCAGTATTTTGTTGAGGATTTTAGTGCCTACATTCATCAGTGATATTGTCCTGTGGTTTTGTTTCTTTGTTGTGTCTTTATCCAGTTTTGGGATCAGAATGATGCTGCTCTTAAAAAAGAGTTTGAGTCTTCCCCTTTCTTGGATTTTTTGGAATAGTCTGAGAAGGATAGGGTCTGCTCTTCCTTAAATGTTTTTGTAAAATTTTCCTGTGAAACTGTCTAGTTCAGGGCTGCTGTGTGCCGGGAGTATTTTAATTACTAATTCAGTTTCACCAGATGTTATCAGTCTGTCCAGGCTTTGTGCTTCTTCTTGATTCAGTTTTGGAAGATTATGTGTTTCTAGAAATTTGTCCATTTCACTCAGGTATTTAAATTTCTTGGCTTATAGTTGTTCATAGTAATTTCTTATAATCCTTTATATTTCTGTGGTATCAGTTGTAATCTCTCCTCTTTCAATCTATTTTATTTATTTGGGTCTTTTCCTTTTTTCCTTGATGAATCTGGGTAAAGGCTTTTTGATTTTGTTTATCTTTTCAAAGAACCAGCTCCTGGATTTGTTCTTTTAGTATCTTGTCATTTAATTCTGCTCTGATCTTGATTATTTCCTTCCTCCTACATGGCTCTGGGCTTTGTTTGTTCTTGTTTCTCCACAGTTTTTATAGTGTAGGGTTAGGTTATTTATTTGAGATGTTTGTGTCTTTTTTAGGTAGGCTTGTATTGTCATGAACTTCCCTTTCAAGATTGCCTTTGCTGTGTCCTGTAGGTATTAGACTGTTGTGTGTTCATTTTCATTAGTTTCCAGAAATGTTTTGATTTTTTTATGATTTTATTTATTTATTTTTAGAGAGGGGAAGGGAGGGAGAAAGGGAGTGAGAGAAATGTCAGTGTGTGGTTACCTCTCACATGGCCTCCACTGGGGACCTGGCCTGCAACCCAGGCATGTACCCTGACTAGAAACTGATCCGGTGACACTTTGGTGTGCAGCCCATGCTCAATTCACTGAGCTATGCCAGCCAGGGCTGATTTCTTCCTTAATATCATTATTAACCCATTCACTGTTTAATAGCATGTTCAGTCTCCATGAATTTGAATGTTCTTGAGTTTTTTCCTTGAGGTTGGTTTTTAGTTTTAAGCTCTTGTGCTCCCCAAAAATGCTTGATATAATTTTGGTTTTCTTGAATTTGTTGAGGCTTGTTGTGTCCTATAAAGTGGTATATGTGTGAAAATGTTCCATGTGCATTTGAAAGGAATGTGTATTTTGCTTCTTTGGGATGAAAGGTTTTATATATATGTATGTGTGTGTGTATATATATATATCAGTTAAGTCCTTTTGATCAGGGTGGTGTTCAGTTCCGCAATATTCTTGTTGATATTTTGTTGGGAAGATGTATCCATTGTTGACACTGTAGTGTTAAAATTCCGTTCTATAAATGTGCTGCTATCTGTCTTGAAGTCTTTCAAGATTTTCCTCACGTATTTGGGTGCTCCTATGTTGGGTGCATAAATGTTTACAGTGTGTATGTCTTGTTGATGGATTCTTCCCTTGAGCATTATCAAGTGTTTTTCTGTGTCTTTTTTTATGGCCTTTGTTTTGAAGTCTGTCTTGTCTGATGTAAGCATTGCTAAACTGACTTTTCTCTCCTGTCCATTTGCTTGGAATATTTTTTCATCCCTTCATTTTCAGTCTGTGTAGGTCTTTTGTTTTGAGGTGCTTCTCTTGTAAGCAGCATATATGTGGGTCCTGTTTTCTTATCTATTCAGCTACCCTGTGTCTTTTGTTAGAGGATTTAATCTATTTACATTTAAAGTTATTTTTGATAGGTACTTATTCATTGCCATTTTACCCCTTTGTATCTGTGTTCCTCTCTCTCACTCTTTATTTCTTCTTCTTAAAGCAGCCCCTTTAGCATGTCTTACACTGCTGAATTGGTACAGGTGTATTCCTTCAGCCTGCTTTTGTCTGGGAAACTGCTTATTTCACCTTCCATTAAAAAAATTTTTTTTTGATTATGCTATTACAGTTTTCCCATTTTTCCCCTCTTGATCCCCTCTCCACCCTGGCCCCCTGAACTTCCAGCATTCCCCCTACATCTTAGTTCATGTCCATGGGTTATATGCGTAAGTTCTTTGAGTCCTCTGTTTCCTGTACCATTTTTTATCTTTCTCCATTTATATTATGCCTACTAATTATGCTGCTTCTTCCCTGTACCTTTCCCCCCCATTCCTCTTTTTCCCCTCCCCACTGACCTCCCTCTGTGTGCTATCCATTTCTCTGATTCCATTCCTGTTCTGGTTTTTGGCTTACTTTTTGTTTTCATTGTTTTTCTTTTCTTTTAGGTTCATTTGTTAATAGTTGTGTTTGTTATCATTTTATTGTTCATATTTTTGGTTTTTTTCTTAGATAAGTCCCTTTAACATTTCTTATAATAAGGGCTTGGTGATGACGGATTCCTTTAACTTGACTTCACCTGGGAAACACTTTCTCTGCCCTTCCATTCTAAATGAAAACTTTGCTGGATAGAGTTATCTAGGATGTAGGTCCTTGTCTTTCATGACTTGGAATACTTTCCAGCCCCTTCTTGCCTGTAAGGTTTCTTTTGAGAAATCTGCTGATAGTCTAATGGGAACTCCTTTGTAGGTAACTGTCTCCTTTTCTCTTGCTGCTCTTAGGATTTTCTGTTTGCCTTTAATCTTGGGTAACTTAATGATGATGTGCTTTGGTGTGTTCCTCTTTGGGTCCAACTTCTTTGGGACTCTCTGGGCTTCCTGGACTTCCTGGAAGTCTATTTCCTTTGCCAGATTGGGGAAGTTTTCCTTCATTATTTGTTCAAGTAAGTTTTCAATTTCTTGCTGTTGTTCTTCTCCCTCTGGCACCCCTATAATTTGGATATTGGAATGGTTCAGGTTGTCCCAGAGAATCCTCAGCAGCCTCTCTTCATTTTTTTTTTATTCTTGTTTATTCATTCTGATCCAGTTGGATGTTTATTCCTTTTGTTCCAAATTGTTGCTTTAAAAATTTTTTTAATTTAATTTTTAAATTTTAATTTATCTTTAGAAGGGAAGGGAAGGAGAGAAGGAGAGAAATATCAATGTATGGTTGCTTCTGGTGCATCTCCTGCTGGGAACTGGCCCCTGCTGGGAACTGGTCTGCCACCCAGGCATGTGCCCTGATGAGGAATCAAACTGTGATCTTTTGGTTCGCAGGCCCATGCTCAATCCACTGAGCTGCACCAGCCAGGGCCCAAATTGTTGCTTTTAATCCTGGTTTTCTTCTTGTCACTGTTGGTTTCCTGAATATTTTGCTTTATTTCATTTTAGGTATCTTTCATTTGTTCTTTAATTTTTCGACCAAGCTCAATCAGTTCTGTGAGTATTTTGATTACCAGGGCTTTAAATTCTCCATCAGGTTGGCAATATCCTTATTGGTTATTTCTGAGGTTTTGCTGTGTTCTTTCATTTAGGCCTTTTTTTGTGTTGGTGCGCCTGCTAAGTTGTAAGGGGTGGGGCCTTCAGTATTCACCAGGGCAGAGCAACCCTGTTTGCTCTGTTGCCTGTGTGGGAGGGGTCAGAGAGGGAACAGTGCAGCTCACCTTCTGGTCTCTAGTGCAGTTTCCAACAGACTCCCGTGTCAGACTAGAGTATCTTTCACTGCGCAACCCCAGCTGTAGCCCACAGTCAGCTGCCAGTCTCAGTTTTTCCCTTAAGTTAGCCCCTCCATGTACCTCTGCCGAGCTTGGCAGTCAGCCCCACCCCCCAGGCACCTTGCCTTGGTTTTTCTGAGTTGGCCTGTGTGTTCTGTCTTACCGATCTGGTTATTCTGGTTGATTTTTTCTTAATTCCTTGGTTGTCAGAGTTCCATGCTGTTTGATTTTCTGGCATTTTTGGTGGCTTATTGATTTTACATTGTTTGTTATCCTCCTTTTGGTTGTGCAGGCAAGTGAAGGGTTTTTACCTGTGCCTCCATCTTGGCTAGAAATCCCTCACCTTCCATTTTAATTGACAGTCTCGCTGTGTAGTGTAGTCTTGGTTGCAAGCCTTTGCTTTTCAGTACTTGGAATATTTCTTGCCATTCCCTTCTGGCTTGTAGTGTTTCTGTTTAGAAATCAGTGATACCCTTATTGGAGCTCCCTTGTATGTTACTACCTGTTTCTCCTTTGCTGCCTTTAAGATAATCTTTTTGTCTTTAAATTTGCCATTTTAATTACGATGTGTTTTGGAGTGGGCCTCTTTGGGTTCATCTCGATTGGGATCCTCTGCTTCCTGGACTTGTGTGACTTTTTTCTCATCAAGTTAGGGAAATTTTATGTCATAACTTTTTCAAACAGGTTTTCTATCCATTGCTCCTCTTCTTCTTCTGGTTTCCCTGTGATGCAGATATTATTACATTTCATGTTGTCCTGTAGCTCCCTTAAACCTTCTTCATTCTTTTTGAGTCTGTTTTTCTTTTCTTGCTCTTTCTGGGAATTTTTTTTTACCTTGTCATCCAGCTAGCTGATTCTGTCCTCTGCTTCATCTAGCCTGCTTCTCATTTCTTCTACTGTGTTTTTCAGTTCAGAAATTGTATTCTTCATTTCCTCCTGGTTCTCATTGATAGTTTCGATGTCTTTTTCATGCTGATATATTTTGCCATAAGTTTCATGTAGTGTCCCTGGAGTTTTTTGTAGTTCTCACCTAGCTCCATGAGTGTCCTTATAACCATTATTTTGAACTAAAAATGTCTGATAGTTTGGTTATATCAAGTTCATTTAGCATTCTGCCCGGGGATTCCTCCTTTCTTTTGTTCTGGGGTTTCCTCTATCTGGGGATTCCTGAGTAGATGCAGGAACAGTATTTGACAAAGTTTAATATTCCTTCATGATAAAAACTATTAACTAACTAGGAATAAAAGGGAACTTTTTACCTCAATTAAGCATTTCTATGAAAAAAACCTATCTCATCATCATACTTATTAATAGAAATTTGAACAATTTTTTTCTAAGATGAGAAAGAAAGTAGAGATATTCATTCTCATCACTTCCATTCAATATCATAGTGGAATTCCTAGCCACTGCAGTAAAGGAAGAAAAGATAATATAAATATAAGGCTCACAGATTGAAAAGGAAGTAATAAAGTTCTGTATTCTCAGGTGTTTTATATATGGAAAATCCCAAGGAATGTACAGAAAGATTTCTAAAATGAATATAGGTATTTAGCAGTGTCATGCAATAAGCAAATTTTTTTATATACTACATGAATATTTGGAACTATAACATTTTTTTTATAGTGCTATTTAAAAATGCATCAAAACGCAAGAAAGACTTAGATATAGCCCTGGCTGGTGTGCCTCAGTGGATTGAGCAGCAGCCTGTGAAACAAAGGGCTGTCAGTTTGATTCCCAGTCAGCGCATATGCCCGGGTTGCTGTCCAGGTCCCTGGTAGGGGGCACTTGAAAGGCAAACGCACATTACTGTTTCTCTTCCTCTCTTTCTCTCTCCCTTCCCCTCTCTAACAATGAATAAATAAAATCTTAAAAAAAAAAGAAAGACTTAGATATAAGTCTGACAAAAAATATGTGTGATTAATATGCTAAAAATTGTGAAACAGTGATCAAAGAAATCAAAGAAGACCCAAATGAAATGAGAGATATAAAATGTGGAGGGGAAGACTCATTGTAGGAAATATACCAGATATTTTTCCAAGTACTATCACAATCAAAATCCTAACAGGATTTTGTTTTATGTGTTGACATATGGTTCTAAATTTAAATCTATAGGTAGGAGAACTAGAATAATCAAAACAGTTTTTGTAAAAGCACAAAATTGGAGCATATATACCACCTAGTTTCCAGGTTTAATGTGAACTATAGTAGTCAAAGTAATGTGGTATTGGTGAACAATAGACACATAGACCAGAACAATAGAACAGAATAACAAGTCCATAAGTAGAGCGACACATTTATGATGAATTTTGACAAAGGTTCAAAGCAATTCAATGGAGAAAGGGAGGGACTCTCCTTTGGAACAGCCATAAGACATTTTATTTCAGTGGTTCATTAACCATTGAAACAATGGTTATCATTGTTAAAATGAAATAACCATTTTCCCTTCTTTTCTGTGGTAAGGTGCTCTAGCTACTCCCTGCTCTTGGCCACTGCACAGAACACCCTCAGCAAACTCCTTTGTGCACATCCTTTTAAATCAGTCCCTTAGGCTTAATTCTCAGACCATTTAACAACACATTGTTTTCTTGAAAATACTAAGTTTTCTTGAAAATACTAGAATGCTATCAGCCTCACTGCATGTTTGCTAGATTGAATGCTAAATTTCCCCACCAGTAAGATTTTGCTATTTTAATAGTTATGTAAATAGAAATGCAGGATTACTTCAGTTTATATCTCTTTGGTTGCTAATAAGGATGAAATGTTTTTCAAGGATTTTTTTCCCCTCATAATCCTTGCTCTTTCATTTATTTCTGTATTGATGGCATTTAAAATAAATTTAAAATGAGTATTTTTATCTCGTATGTCTTTGTAGGTGTTGACATTCATTTTTATGGGTATGACATTGAATGGTATTTTGAAGAAATGATATAAATGTTTTTGTTTTCTAGCTGGCTTAGGTGAATTCCGAATTCGAGACCTGAATGATGAAATTAACAAATTGCTAAGAGAGAAAGGACACTGGGAGGTCCGGATAAAGGAGCTGGGCGGTCCTGATTATGTAGTAAGTAAGCAGCTTAATTATCCCTAGTGGCTGTTAGGGGTAAGCTTGTAAGCTTTTGGGCAGGCTGGGTGGGTCTTACCTAGGAGCCTGTAGCTCCCAGCCCATACCTATCAGAGGGCAGTCACTCAAGAAATGAAAGAAGGCTTGAAGAAGTCCCTGTTGCAGGTAGACAGGAAACCATGAAAAGTGTAGGTCAAATAATGCTTAAAAGCTCTATAGTACAGGTCTTAGAGCAGATAGGGCACAGGCATTTACCAGTCAGATGTTCCTGAGTAAGCCACTTAATCTCTCTGAGTCTCACTCCTTGGGAATTAGAGCAACATTATTGGATTTTTTACCTGACGGGGCTGTGGAACATTCCATTCTTTCCTTTCTTTGGACTCTTAAAAATGCAGTACTCTTGAACAGTGGCTTTCAAGCTTTTAGGACCACGAGTCATTATAAATATGTGCACACACACACTATATCACAACCCAGTAAACACAAAAATGTGCTGAAGAAATACTTAGTATGTGTTGATGCACTGTTATTTTCTGTTCTATTTTGATTTAAAAAAATTGGTCATTGTGACCCACTTAATTGATTTCATGTCTTGCTACTGGTTTCAACTTTGAAAAATACTGTTCCCAGAGCTTGTGAAAAGATCTGCCTCAGATCATTTGAACCAGTAGTAGCTAATTAGTGGGCTAAATATACAGTGTAAGAAATACATGACAGTTTTTCTACATCACAGTCTTTTCACATTTGTGAAGATTTCACACAGCCATAATTTGCACTTTAGTACCTGGAATGTAAATGAAGCATTTCTTCTTTTCATAGCAAAAAGAAAGGCATTCACATTTCTTGAACATCTGTTGTGCTGTAGGCAATGCAGTAGGAACTTTCATTCAACCTCTTTACCATGTCTTTATGATGTATTTGGTTTCCTATAAGACTTCATTAAAGTAATGCAGAAATTTATCAATCCTCATAGAAAATGTCAGAAGCACTTAATTAAAATATAATTCTTAAGTTCACCATTCAAAAGCGACATTGTTTTTATATATTTCCTTTCAGAATTTTTTAATGCTTAAGAATTTTGTTTTCATTTATTATGTATACAAATAATAAATTTATGTCCTGGCTGAGTGCGTTGGGTGTCATCCCACAAGCCAAAAGGTCTCTGGTTCAATTCTTGGTCAGGGCATGTGCCTGGGTAGAGGGCCAGATACCCAGTTGGGGGCATTGAAGAGGCAACTGATTAATGTTTCTCTCTCACATTGATGTTCTCCCCCTCTCTTTCTCCCTCCTTTCCCTTCTCTCTAAAAATAAATAATTTTTTAAAAAAGGTGATACATTTAGAGCTTCAGTTTTATAAGATGAAAAGACTTATGATGATGGATGGTGTTGATGGTTACATGACATTATAAATATATTTATTACCATTTTTATGTACATATAAGAATGGTTAAGACTTCTGGCCAAGATGCATGTGTAGGTAGACACACTTTCCCTCCTTGCACAACCAAAAGGACAAGAACAAATTAAAAAAAAAAAAAAGCAGGCCCTGGCTGGTGTAGCTCAGTGGATTGAGCGCGGGCCTACGAACCAAACAACCATGGTTTGATTCCTGGTCAGGGCACATGCCTGGGTTGCAGGCCAGTTCCCAGTGGGGGATGCATGAGAGGCAACCATACATTGATACTTCTTTGCCTCTCTCCTTCCCTTCCCCTCTAAAGATAAATAAATAAAATCTTTAAAAAAAAAAAAAGCAGAACTGCCAGAAAATCAAACTGTATGGAAGTCTGACAACCAAGGAGTTAAAGAAGAAACATTCGTTCATACTGGTAGGAGGGGCAGAGATGGGCAGCTGAGGCAGAGAGGATGTGTGGCCAGGTGGCAGCTGGAGGACCAGGTGGGCAATATATGGTGGTGGACTGGGTAGCCCCACATTTCCATACAGATAAACTGAAAAGAAAAACTGGGGAGCAAAGTGAACCGCATAATTCAGGGTTCCAGTATGGAGAAATAAAGCCTCAAAACCTTTGGCTGTAAAAATCTGTGGGGGTTGTAGTGGCAAGAGAAACTCCCACATTCATAGCAGAGTTCATTGGAGAGACTTGCAGGGTTCTAATATGTACACAAACCCACCCACCTTGGAATCAGCACCAGTACAGCCCAATTTGCTTGTGGGTACTGGGAGAAGTGAGTAAAAGCCAGCCCAGAGCCAAGCAAGCCTCAGTGTTCCCTCTCCGACCACTCCCTGACACACAGCACCACAACACAGGGATGTGGTTGTCCTGCCTTGGTGAATACCTAAGGCTCTGCCCCTTACTACTGAGTGGGTGGGCTGAGAAAAAGAAATATGGTACAAATGACAGAACAGGTCAAAGCTCCAAAAATAGAGATAAGTGATGAAGAGGTAGTCAACCTATCAGATGCAAAGTTCCAAACCCTGGTAATCAGGATGCTCACAGCAATGGTTGAGTATGGTTGCAAAATGGAGGAAAAAATGAAGGCAATGCAAAGTGAAATAAAGAAAAATATACAGGGAACCAACAGTCTGATGGGAACTCGTTTGTAGGTAACTTTCCATTTCCCTTGCTGAAGGGAAGAAAACTGGGAGCAGAAGGAAAAAAAAAAACATTCATCCAGAACAGAATGAAGAAACAAGAATTCAACAAAATGAGGAGAGGCTTAGGAACCTCCTGGACAACTTTAAACTTTCCAACATCCAAATTGTAAGGGGTACTGGAAGGAGAAGAGGAAGAGCAAGAAATGGAAAACTTACTTGAAAAAAATAATGAAGGAAAACTTCCTAAGCTAGCAAAGGAAACAGACCTCCAGGAAGTACAGGAAGCTCAGAGTGTCCTAAAGAGGTTGGACCCAAGGAGGAACACACCAAGGCATGTCATAATCACAATACCCAGGATTAAAGAGAAGGAGAGAATCTTAAAAACAGCAAGGGAAATGGAGAGAGTTACCTACAAACGAGTTCCCATCAGACTGTCAGCTGATTTCTCAAAAGAAACCTTGTAGGCAAGAAGGGGCTGGAAAGAAGTATTTCAAGTTATAAAAGGCAAGGACCTACATCCAAGATTACTCTATCCAGTGAAGCTATCATTTAGAATGGAAGGGCAGATAAAGTGCTTTACCCAGATAAGGTCAAGTTAAAGGAGTTCATCATCACCAAGCCCTTATTATATGAAATGCTAGAGGGGCTTATCTTAGAAAAAGAAGATGATCAAAACTATGAACAAGAAAATGACATCAAACCCACAACTATCAACAATTGAACCTTCAAAAACGAAACAAACAAGAACAGGAATGGAATCACAGAAATGGAGATAGCATGGTGGTTTGTCGGTGGGAAGGAGGAGGGGAGACTATTGGGAAAGGTGAGGGGAATAAGAAGCGTAAATGGTAGGCGCAAAATAGGCAGAGCTTATTTATTTATTTATTTATTTATTTATTTATTTATTTATTTATTTATTTATTTATCTTTAGAGGGGAAGGGAAGGAGAAAGGGAGAGAAACATCAATGTATGGTTGCCCTTTGTGCATCCCCTGCTGGGAACTGGCCTACAGGGAACCAGCCTGCAACCCAGGCATGTGCCCTGACTGGGAATCGAACCTTGATTGGTTCGCAGGCCCGAGCTCAATCCACTGAGCTACACCAGCCAGGGCAAAATAGGCAGAGCTTAGTAACAGTATAGGAGATGGAGAAGCCAAAGAACTTACTCATGGATGACTTACTAATGTGTGACTCATGGACATGAACTAAGGAGGGGAATGCTTGTGGTAGTGCAGTGCAGAGGGGACTTAAGGGGAGAAAAAAATGGGACAACTGTAATAGTATAATGAATGGAATATATTTAAAAAAAGAAGAATGGTTAAGTTGGTAAATTTTGTGATATGTGTATTGTACCACAGTAAAAAAAGAAAATACATTATCATCAAGTTTGTAGAAATATAAAGAAGCTTCTGAACAACATTTGGTTATAGTCCCATTACTTGCACAGTACTTTAATATTTTCTTCTATTTTTCTATGAATGCCATAATTGAGATCATACTCTCTATATGTACAATTATGGTTCTAGGTTTTGTTTTTCAAAATGGTAACTTTGATGATATAAATAGTATATATACTTTTCTGCAAAAAATATAAAGAAGTATATAAAAATTGCAAAATTTAAAAAATTATACATATAGGGTATATTGCATATTTTCCTTTGATGCAGAAATAACTTACCATTTTCTAGAATTTTTCTGTGCATATTATGCTTATATTTACAGAAATTGATTTATATTTAACTATGCGCTCTGTTTGTATAATAGTGTATCGGGAGCAGATTTTCACACAAATAAATAATCATTTGTATAATCATTTTAAAAAGCATTTTTGAGCTAACAGAAAGTTGGAAAAATATACAGCAAATTCTTATATACCCCTTAGGCAGATTTACCAGTTTTTAAACATTTTTCTGGTTTAGCTTTATTATTTTCTTTCTTTTATTTATTGATTTTAGAAAAGGAGAAATATTGATTTGTATTCCACTTATTTATGCATTCATTGGTTGCCCTGACCAGAGATCAAACCTACAGCCTTGGCAGATAGGGATGATGCTCTAACCAACTGAGCTGACTGGCCAGGGCCAGCTTTATAATTTTCTGTGTGTACCTTGAGATTTATTTTTCTGAACCATTTGAAGCTTAACTAAATGATGCTCCTTTATCCCTTAATACTTAATGCATGTAGTTGTTGGCATCATTTTAAATGGATTGAACTGCGTCTTCTGGATATTTCATTTGTCTTTTACTTGTCACTTAGGTGGTTTGCAATTTTTAAAAAGATTTTGTCACTTATCATAAGCATTTTCAAAGTTAATATAAGAAACGTCTTTGATAAGGTATAGTATATATTCTGTCCATGAGTTTGCTATAATTTACTTAAATAATTTTTCTACTTTTAGGTATTTAGGTTGATTTTTAAGGAATGAAGATGTATGTAAATATTTTTCTATGTGCATAAATATTTTTCATGTTAAAGATTATCTTAAAATATATTTACAAATATGGAAATAGTGGGTTTAAAGATTCGATTCATATTCTTTTTTTCTTCCCAATAAGAAAGTTGGCCCTAAAATGCTGGATCATGAAGGAAAAGAAGTCCCAGGAAATCGGGGTTACAAATACTTTGGAGCAGCAAAAGATTTGCCTGGTGTTAGAGAGTTATTTGAAAAAGAACGTGAGTAATTAATGTTTGAATGGGTTTTAGCTTCAAATTTTTTTAGACATTACACAAAGGCTTTTATTCGTTACCATTAAATGTCTGAATTTTAAATAGATACTTGGACTGGGGGGTCATTTCCAGCATCTTGTTCAACTTTAGTATTTGTCTTGCTTACAGGAGTTTTTCCAAAATTACTACCTTCACCATGAAGTTCCATGAGTTTTCCCAATTCAAACCTGGGCTTCTTCAGTTTTTTCACTTTTATTCAAAAGACATCATGGAATGAATAAATAGATCGGCAAGCTTTTCTCTGCCTTTCCAGTGCTATCTGGAGTCAATTTATTGACTGCTTCTTTCAAGTCATTTATCTGTACTCCTGAGTCAAGATTTCCTTCGTCTTCCAGATTTGGCAGACTGTTGATACTGAGCCTAAAGAGGTCTCCTGAACCTGATTGCTATGTTTTTTTAGTAAAGCCAGTACAGAATAGATGAAGCAAATAACAGTCAGTAGTCTTCATGGCAACGTGAACTTCAGTCATGGGCTACTATTTTTTGAACATGAAACACATTTTGTCATGGGTTGGGATCAGTGCTATGAAGATTAAGCAGGTGGTTTTTGCCCTGAACATCCTCAGTAATTAGCTTGAATTTCTAAATTCAACTTCCATCATTCTCAGAATAGTTAGGCTCATTTCAAAAACACGATCCTTGAGACCACCAGGTGCAGTTTTGGTTCCTTGAATTCTTGTGACTTGTGTCTTTCTAATATTTCTTATATTAGAAATAGCTGGTGTTTTCACATCATACTAGTCTTTCTTAGAAAATGGAACAACCACTTTCTTCTTGGCTCCCTTTTTGCTGCTTTTTGTAAGGTGTTTGTTCTTACTGACCATCCTTCCAGAACTTCTTTGCATTTACAACTTGGCTGGCACAAGAGTCTGGGCTTTTCACCTATCTTGGCTTTCAAGATGCCCTCCTTACTAAGCTTAATCATTTGTAGCTTTTGATTTAAAGTGAGAGACATGTAATTCTTTCTTTCACTTCAACACTTAGAGGCCATTGTTGGGTTGTTAATTGGCCTGATTTCAATACTGTTTTGTCTCGAGGAATCGGGAGGCCCAAAGAAAAGGAGAGAGTTGGGGAATGACTGGTTGGTGAAGTAGTGGCAACACACATACATTTATCTATTATTTCCATGTTATATGGATGGGTATGGTTTGTGGTAGCCCAAAACAATTACAATAGTAACCTCAAACATCAATGATCACTATAACAAATATAGGAATGAAAATGTTTTAAGTAATACTTGGAGAATTACCAAAATGTCACAAAGACACAAAGTGAACTAATGCTATTGCAAAAATGGTGCCCGTTGCCCTGGCTGGGTGGTTCAGCTGTAAGCATTGTCCTGTACAGCAAAAAGTTGCGAGTTCTATCCCTACTCAAGGCACATAACCTAGGTTTCAGGTTTGATCCCTGCCTGGTCAGGGTGCAAATGGGAGGGATCTTTGTTTCTCATTCTCTTCTTTTTTTGTCTCTCTAAAATCAATAAACATCCTGGAGTGAGGATTTTTTTAAAAAAGTGTCACTGATAAACTTGCTTGAAGCAGAGTTGCCACAAACCTTCAATTAAAAAAAAATGCAGTATTTGTGAAGCACAGTTAAGTGAAGTGCAATGAAATGTGTTATGCCTGTATTTCAATTTTGTATTTTAGAAAAGTAGTGTAAACACTTTATAGAAAAAGTGTGAAATGCAGAGAAGAATGATATGGTGTTCTCAGGACTGTTGGCATTCTATTCCCTTTTAGTCAGTTTTTCTGTTTGTTTAAAATTTTAATTCTACCTTTATTAAACTCTTATTTTTAAATTTATTATGCCAAAACTGCTTTTGCATATGTCATGAACATTGTTTAAATAAAGTTCAGAGTTTAAATATCATGTCATTCATTATAAAAGTAATGCAATTTTATACAGAGAATTTGTAAAACACCAAAAATCAGGGGGGGGAAAAAGCCTGCATTTTTACAGCTTTTAGATGATGATTGTTAATGTGTCAGGGCATGTTTCCAGTTTTTTAAGAGTTGTGGTGGAGGAAGGGGCTCTAAATTTAGGTTATGTTAAATATGTTACTTTTTTTGCATTTATATTTTTATAAGTTAATTTTCACTTATTCCAGTCATAAATCCTTTTTAAATAAGAAAATGCTTAAGTTAGTCTTGATGAGTATAATTTAACTAGCAGTACAGTCCTTTTAACCCCCCTCTCCCTCTAATCTCAATGCCTCTGCCAGAGAAAAATGTTAACCATTATTATCTATTTGGTATGTTCCCTTCCAGGCCTTTTACATGCACTTCCATGGTTATTTCTTTAGTTAAATTTCATCAGTAAAGGTGACAGGTGGCTGAAGTACAATTTACTTTAGGCAGGAAAGCCTAAATTTATTGGCTCACATCACTGAAAAGCCCCTAAGTCAGGGGTGTCAGACTCATTTTCACTGGGGAGGGGGTTGCACATCAACCTTGTGGTTGTCTTCAAAGGGCTGAATGTAATTTTAGGACTGTATAAATGTAACTACTCCTTAACGGTTAAGCGAGAGCTTGGCGCTGCCGCTGGGTAGAAACAAGGTGCCAGGCCAGATAAAAACAAGGTGGAAGGCCAGATTTGGCCTTTGGGCCTTGTGTTTTCCACCTCTGCCCTAGGTAGTTTACCTTTAGGAATGGCTGATTCCAGGCCACATTTTTTCATGTTGTAGTGCTCTGAGCAAGCCAGGTTTTAGTCCTGTACGCTGTCCTGCATGCAATCAGCATGGTGACTACCACTCTTGACACCTGGACTGAGAGTGGTGGACAGGTGGACAGAGTTGCCATTACCTACATTAGGGCAATAGTTGGTGGCCTGCCAAAATACAGTGGCTCTCTCATACCTTTGTGTTATGGTATCCATTGATATGTTCCCACAGTTCTACTTAGAACTCTATTAATGGATAGGAAGGATTAAAGAATATCATGATATAGACTAACATTACTTAATGAAACCATTCCTGCTTTGGTAGACTTACAGTTATTTCCAGATTTTCATAATTATAATACTTTTGCTGATTTGATGGTTGAAGATATACTACCTTTATTTTTTATTTCTTTTATCACTGATAAAATTCATAATTTAATTCAATTACAAATTGAAAATTTTATACTTATGAATTTTTTCTTCTTCATTTATCAGCCTTTATTCTTTTTTAAAAAGGGATTTTATTTCTTTATTTTTAGAGAAGGGGGAAGAGAGGGAGAGAAATATGGATGTATGAGAGAAACATCCATCGGTTGCCTCTCACACGCCCCTAACTGGGGACCTGGCCGACAACCAAGGATGTGCCCTGACCAGTAATCGAACTGGTGACCTTTCAGTTTGCAGGATGACATCCAACCCACTGAGTCACATCAGCTGGCATCAGCTTATATTCTTTGACCTATCTGTTGGGTTGTCATTTCTCTTTTGATTTTCAAGAATTATTTATATATTCTGAGTATTTATATATTTATATATTTTCTTGTGTTGTAAGAGCCTATGTAGGAAATAGTGCCAGGTGTCCTCAGTCACCACACAATCAAAGCATCTTGCCAACAGCATATACCATATTGGCAATTGAAATACTCTGTAAAAATAAGAAGTTCCACAAATCAAAGGAAACTGGATATAAAAGTGATTAAAGAAAAGTACTTCAAAACATTTCCATTGACTTTCTCAAGTTTCTGGTTTATCCTTTTGAATTTTGTACATTATCTTGTGAGGTATAAGTTAAAAACCCAGCCAAACAGACCAAGAAACAAAGGGCCTCATGAACTATCAGGAATTTCCATGTTACGATCTGAAATTTTGTATAATTGTCCAACATACAGTTCCAAGCATTTTAAAATGGTTCTTGCATAGGATTCTCAGGTAAAAGTAAATTAACATACTCCATAGCCAAGGATGCTGAACTAAAGATACTGACACTTCATTTGTTGCCATTTTTCAAATCTCTGTACATGGCCTTATTCATGAGCCTCTCTTGCAGTCCCTTCTTCTGGATGCTTGCATGGATACTACCATCTATTTCATATTTTCATGAGCACATATATCTGACAGGCACATATGCCTGTCTAACATTGTGCAGGAAGAAGATTTCAGTGTGATAATGATGGGGAATTTAACTAAGTTGGTGCTCTTTCTTTTAGCTCTTCCTCCTCCAAGAAAAACACGTGCTGAGCTCATGAAGGCAATAGATTTTGAATACTACGGTTACCTTGATGAAGATGATGGTGTTATTGTGCCTTTGGAACAGGAATATGAAAAGAAACGTAGGTCTATATGCATTTCATTTCATTATAGGTGGCATCTGGGGTTTCCGTTGTTTGTTTTGAAACTGGCATTTTAAATACTGTTTTATGTCAGAAAGAGTTTTCTTTGTTGCTAATGGTCTTCAGAGGAAATGATCTGCTAATGACTTAACCTCCAGTAATTGTGAGGCAATTAGCATGGTGTTGGGCCAGAAGGAACATGTTGGGGAAGCTACAGAGTGGCATCTGACCTGGTCCCTGTCCACCTGGGTTTTCCATCTAGATTTCTTCCAAGACTGGTCTTTCTTGAAATCATGAAATAGTGCCCACTTAAGGAGATTTAGACCTGTTTTAAACACAGCTAGTGGTTTATCCGTGTAGAGCAGGATGGGTCTCTTTCTGAGAGCTTGCTTCATGCAAGAACCATGCTGTACCTTTTATAGACATTCTTTTGAAGCTTCATAACAACTCTGGAGAATAAGTTAGGGCTGCTCCCCATGAGGCTTATTGAACTAGGGCTTTGGAAGCAGGTGGTCAGGAGTTGGAGCTCTGCCAGCACGGTGTATGACTACATCTCTTTTCATGTGGGCATGTCAGGAAGCCACCCAGATTATTGAGCTGGGGAGGATCTGAGGATGTTCCCTAAAACTCTGCTTCATAGTGACAAAGCCAAAGCAGCTGTGAGACTAGATTGACACTCACATCTGGTTCTCTCACCAGGGCAGAATGAAGGATGTCCCTTTCCTAAGGGAACATCTTGGCCTTGCCCTGCATAGTATTTAAAGCTTATTCATAGCCCAAAGTAACACCTACTGTTCCTTGTCTTTAGTCAGAGCCAAATTGGTGGAAAAGTGGAAAGTAGAGAGAGAGGCTCGGCTAGCAAGAGGAGAAAAGGAAGAGGAGGAAGAAGAGGAGGAAGAGATTAACATCTATGCTGTTACCGAGGAGGAGGTACTGGGGGGCAATGAGGGTCTCCCTGGTGCTCACTAATTTTGGCTCTGAGCTGTGAAGCCCGGACCTTTTGGGAAGGGTTCTGGTGCAAGTCAAGTTCAGCCACTGCCTTTTGGCTTGCTTGATACCTCCTGGTAGGAACTACAAAGTGATTCGTTGGTTTCTTCTTGGAGGCATTTGGGAGAGGCTGTGCTGTGAACTGAATCCAGCTGCCACGATTGGGCTTTGGACCCTTTGGTGGGCACTGTGATATGAAGCTGAGGCCAGCCACCAGTTGTATTAGACTTATGGCACTTATTTGAAGCTGTGTTTCAAGCTGCAGCTGGCCACTGTTTATGCCAGCCTTGGAGCCACTTGATAGAAGTTACATTACAAGTTGTTGAGACTGCTTATGCCCAGCCTGGGGCAGTTTACATAGAGGTACAAGGCATGCTGAGGCCAGCTGCTGCTTGTTTGGGGTTTGTACACCTTCCAGCTGAGGCCAGCTGCTGCTTGTGTGGAGCAGCTGCTAGAAGAAGCTCAGGCCCAGTGATTGAGTTGAGTGGGGTGGAGTCTCAGGAAATCATCAGGGCAGGGAGAACCTTGTTAGTCAAGTTAATAGAGATCTCAGATTCAGTGCCCAGCTGCTTCTGCTGACTGGATGGGAGAAGAGCTCAACAATTGCAAAAAGAAGGAACAGTGGAACAGTGCCACCTGCCAACATGTCTGTCCTTACTCTTGCCCCACTAGCACTTGTCCTGAATCTCATCAATATAGTTTCTCCACATATGTATCTGGCACTTTTTGAGCTGCTGCCCCAGTGCTGGAGCCCAGAACAAATGAGTTTGATTCTGTGTCGCTAGCAGCCCTTTGTCTCACTTGTATGCATTCTCTGCTTGTTGCCATAGCCTGGCACTGGTGCTCTGGGCTGGGGATACTGGTGTGGGGATGGGGCCCCTTGTTCCTCAGAGGGGACCTGTGCAACAGAAATATCCCTCCCAATTCTTAATTGCCATACTGTGAGTGTGAGACCTGTCCATTTAGCATTTCTGCCCCTCCTACCAGTCTCCACATGACTTCTCTATAGATTAGTTATAGAACTTCTGTTCAGGTAGTCTTTAGGTGGTTCTCATGACAGTAATTTTATAATTTAGTTTTTATTTTCATGTGGTTGTGGGAGGCTGACAGCACAGGGTTTACCTACTCCATCATTTTTTGTTAACCATCACCTGAGGACATTTTTTCATTGCTTTTAGAGAAAGAGGAAGGGAAAGAAGGGTTTAGAGTACAGGGAAGAAAGGGAGAAAGAGAAGGAGAGAAACATTGATTAGTTGCCTTTCGTACACGCCCCAACTGGGGACCGAACCCACAACCTAGGCATGTGTCCTGACCAGGAATTGAACTCATGACCTTTTTGGTCTATGTGATGATGCTCTAAACAAGTGACCCACACTTGCCAGGGACCCACTCCACCATTTTGTCTGGACTTTAAGTTTAATTAAAAAAAAAATAGGTAATATAGCCCTGGCTGGTGTAGCTCAGTGGATTGAGCGCAGGCCTGGGAACCAAGCAACCATGGTTTGATTTCCAGTCAGGGCACATGCCTGGGTTGCAGGCCAGTTCCCATCAGGGGACTTACAAGGGGCAACCATACATTGATATTTCTCTCCCTCTCTCCTTCCCTTCCCCTCTAAAGATAAATAAATAAAATCTTTAGGAAAAAAATAGGTAATATAGTTATAAGTCAAGAATCAAACAGTATATAAAGATAGTGAACAGAGGTTGTCTTTTGCAATTCTGCCCTCCATCAACCTAGTTCTCACTGCTGTCACTAGTTTCTATTCTTACTTTCCTAATACAAAAGTTAGCATATTGTACACAATGTTCTGTTAATTTTTGTATGTAATGATATCTTGGTTATGTTTCTGTATAAGTAAAGAATTTCCTCATTCCTTTTCCCCCCCTTTAAGCAGCTGCAGAGTAAGCATATATTATAGCACAAGCAACATTTATTTCATGCTCTCCTATTTATGGAATTTTGGTTGTTCTCTGTTTCTAGTCTGATGAAGAAGGCAGCCAGGAGCATGGAGGGGAAGACGGGCAGCAGAAGTTCATCGCTCATGTCCCTGTGCCATCACAACAAGAGGTAGGGTAGAGGCTGTGAGCTACCCTTGCAGGTGGACCTTCCCAAGTGTCAGGGACCTCACCTCTAAAGAAGACTCCATTTAGTGCTCTACTGTTTTTTTCCCTTGTCTGTCCATTTGGGCAGCTCTGACTCTTGACTACATGACATTGGTCACTATGCTTATAACAGGGTGTGGAATCTAGAGAAGGCAGGATTTCATCTGCTTTAGAGGAAATTGATGACCATTCTGTTGTTCACATACTTACAATGGGAGAGAAGGGGACCTTCACAATCATTCTAGGTATTGAGCTGTTGTTCAATGGCCACTCTCAGAGAGACTCCCTCTTAGCCGGGGTACAGCAGGGAAGAGAGGGCCTTATTGAAGAGTGTTGCATGAGCCCTTTACTCTTGTTATTCACAGATCGAGGAGGCACTTGTGCAGAGGAAGAAGATGGAACTCCTTCATAAGTATGCAAGTGAGACTCTGCAGGCCCAGAGTGAAGAGGCCAAAAGACTCATGGGATATTAGGGCTGAGGAAGGGCTCTCTTTGGGGTCTGGAAATCTGTTGGGAGTTCTTCAGCTCCACTGGAACTTGCATTAACCCACTGGCTCTGCTGTCCTTGGACTGCAGACTGGTAGGCTAGTGCTGTGAGGCTTCCTGCTCTTTCTTACTGTTCATTTTTCTCTTACCTTTTGTTACCTCATCTGCTGATCTCAGATAAGGGAGTCTGCCCCATCCTTCCCTAGCAGGTTTTCTACATGCTAGCAGTTCAGTGGTCATCTGTGTACAAATATTTTGATATTGTATGAACCCACTTATTTTTCTCTTGAGTGTGTAAAACATGCTGCTAACTGGCTGCCTGTGTTTTATTTAGCTTTCTACTATCATTTGGTGGGGAGGGTGATCAATTACTACCATTAAAAAATACAGTTTTTCTAAAAAGACATTATTTGTAACTCCTCTTGAAAAATGAAATGTGTCAGTCCTGAACTCACATCCCATATGTCAATAGCCAGCCAGAGCTGTATGTTTTGAGCCTGGCACAGTTCTCTGTGGCCTGCTCAGCCTGTGTGATTCCCTCCTGTCCAGATGGCAGGAAATTGAGTTTACTTTTGTTTTATGACTGGTTTTGTAGAGAGCTATTTTTATTAAAGCTTTTTATATGAGAGAGATCTCCATATCTGTAGTTTCTTGTTCCCTGGGCTCTGTGTACTGAGGTAATGGTTGCATTAGAACATGAGGTTTGGAATCACATCAGGGGAGAGTCCCCAAACACACAGCCCAGGTATGGGAGGGCTGGGACTAGTTCCCGGCTCTGTCTGGGAGCTGAGCTCAGTGGGCAGAGCCATCCTTACTGCTCCTTCTAGGCAGCCTGTGTGAAAGTACACCTTGGATGTCCAGGAAGCACCAGTTGGATCCAAACCCACCATCCAAGCTGAGTCTTTTCAGTGGGGAGAAATGACGGCAGAGACTTTAACCTCTAGGACAGTGGCAGGGGGGACCTCCCCATTCTCAGAGGGGTCCTGGGAATGTCTGGGAGTATTAGGACCAGGAAGCTGTCCTTTGGATTGGGGCCCTATCTGGGGCTGTTTGTGAACAGGAAGTGCTGGAGCTTGAAGAAGCCCATTACACAGCAGGGAGTTTGGTCGGAGATGGTCTGCCTGCCTGGAAGCAGCACAGTCTGGATGGAAATGGCAGAGTCATGTGTGGCTATGGGTGGCAAGTGTCAGGGGGAATGCATTCGGGCATGGGTGGTTCTGGGGACCCTCCTCAAGGAGACTGAGAGCAGCAGGGAGCTGTCTAGAGGTCTGAGCAAGTGGGCAACCTGGTTAGTTTGTGACCTATAGTCAGGTGTGGAGATTAGAGGCATGAGTCAGGTCAGGCAGAGGCTTAGTGGAGTGGGGCGTAGCTGCATGGAGAAGGTGACAGGAGACCTGTGAGGATGAGGAGAGGGGACATAACTGGGGGAGGGATATCGTGTCCTGGCTTCTCTGAAAGAAGTTCTGATGATCCCCCAACCCCTAGCTGAGCTCCTGGGCAAATGTGAGCAGGGTGCTGAGAGGGGTTGAGATTGGAGCTCTGGGAGTGGAGCCTTGGCGGGAGAACTGGTCTGAGAGCTGGATGGCTCAGGAGTGAATTCAGTGGGGGCTTTGAGCAGGGATTCTCTGGATCCCTGATCTGTTTCCCTGTTTTAAAGTCCATGACTGGACCTGTGGGTTTTCCCCAGAGTCTGGGTAGTCCCTGGTGTGGGCAGAGGAAAGGTAGGGCCTTTGGGACAGCCTGGCCCACATCAGAGCTTCTGGGATGGGTATGGGGTGCCCAGCTCAGATGGACCCAGTTATGGGTTTTTCTTTCAAGGGGTACATGTGGGTTTGGGGCTGCCTTGCATTTGATGAGAGCAGAACATTCAGACGACAGGTATTTCTTCTCTATGGAAAAAGTGGTTGGCAAGTGTCTGGAGGGTGGCCCATCTGGAATTTCCAGGGCTCCTGGCCTTCCTCATTCAGTCAATGGAACTCAGAAGCTTTCTCAACCACGTGAAACAGAGACAAAAACAGGAGCCCTCCCCACCCCACACCAGCCTTTCAGTTTACAAAGATCCTGCCACTCAGGATGTCACCGTGGCTTCCCTGAGTGCTCACAGAACAGGAATAAGTGTTCCACATCTGAGGAAACTGAAGCCCTTGTTATAGAAGCACCTGACTCAGCATTTGGTTTTTCCCTGATAAAGAAAGATTGTACCCAACTCCAGGCCTCTTCCTGTCCTGCAGGTACTGGCTACTTCTCTGCCAGAGACCCCAGAAATGAGATCTCTTTAGGGCTCCCATCCCAGCCAACGAACAGCAGGGAAATCTGAGTTAGCTCGGTGGGTATGATCACTGGTGGGGATGTGGTCACTTTGGTGCAGCTCATTGCTCAGAGGTAACAACAAGTGTCAGGATTCTTTGACCAAACCTGTTTCACGGTTTGCATTAGCTTTGGTTCTGTACAGTTTCCAAAATGGCGTCTTTGTATATATACATTTCCATGGACTTCTCACCCCTTTTCTTACCCCACTGGTCCACCTATGAATTTAAAACATCAATATTCCTCTTGTTTTAAGATTTGTCATACTAGCCCCATCCAGACATTAGACTGTCCTTTTTCCTCTATGCACGTAACCTCTTGCACTCTGCCTCCTGACTTCACATGCTCCTGCTTTGGGCAATTTATAAACAAGGAAGAGATTAAAACCTTTTTCTTTTCTCTACACCCTGGGCTACTGCAAGAAGTACAGGCCTGCCATGGAGAAGCAAAGGGCTGGTTTTGTTGCCTGATCCACTGCTTCACCCTATCCCCATCTTATTGCTTTCTCCCAAAGCCCTAAGAGAGGATGGGGTAGGATTCTCACCCCTGCTCACGTTAATGCAGCAGGATCCCACCTGTTGTCATCAGGCCTATTCTAACTCCTAGCAGTCATTGCCTAGCTAGTGACACAGGCCCATGCCCACTGGGAGACTAGAATTGGCACCCTGGCCCTCAGGCATTTTCACATCTTTTCTGCTTTAACTGCCCCCCTTGCAAAAAAAGAAAAAGAAATCATGGAGGTAATATCTTCTGTAGAGCTGACCCTGTACTACAGAGTTCCTACACTGGGTACTTTTCTGAAAGTCACCAATCCTGTGCTTCTGCCTCATTAAGATGAGTGGGGAAGGCAGATCAGGTCTCTCTAGCAGGGGCCATGTAGGATTCTGTGAAAACCGTTGTGGGAGGAACAAATTTTTCGCTACCCTCAAGATTCTTCTGGGTGGTCTAATAATCAAATAGACATGAGACAGCTTAGCAAAATAAAATGACCAAATTTAATACATACATATGCATAGGAACCTTGCATATATGACAGAGGGACCACATATGCAGGAGAGATCCAGAGAGCAAAAGGGGATATGGGTATATAAGGCATCCTGAGCTAAGGATAAAGTAAGGTGCCTTGGGAGCTTCAGTGGGTCATTGTAGGATGATAAAAAGAACAGATATTTAGTAAACCGAAGTTTACCCTGATCTACAGACAGGTCAAAAGAAGTTGTCTGATAATCTCTTATGGGCAAGGCCCCTGTTTCAAGTTTTAGGTGGTTAAAGGAAGGGGCAGAAGTGTCTGAGCCTAATGCTAAAATTTTTGCTCAAAGTAATTGAATACCACTAAGTCACATCTTGGGGTGGATTATTCTGAACCCCCTACAGTGGCAAATTTAAAGGGTTGGGAAATAGGGAGAGGGGCTTCATGACAGGGGACCAGATGATTTGGGGGCAAGAAGAGGTAAGGCAGGCCTTGAATGTGTTGGAGTTTTGGAGGGTCTGGGCTTGTCACTGAAGTGTGAGCATGGGGATAGCCAGGTAAGAGCAATTCTAGCAGGCCCATTTGGTGGGAGGATATGGAACTAACTAGAAGTTGAGAGGGGAGGAAGCCAGGGCAGTCCTTGGGATGGGGGAGTGGAGGAACACTGCTCTGGTTCTGAGGATAGCAGTGGGGGTGGGAAGTCACCATGGAGTTGTGAGAGGTTTAAGTAGGGGTGCTGAGAGCCAGATAACTCCAAATTTTCAGTTAGCCTCAAGTGTGAGGTGGTTACCATCAACAGAAACAGGGAGGGCTGGTGTTCATTAGGCTTGCGTTTATGACATTTTGGATTTCTAGGAGGGGAGAGTGGGATCGCTGCAGTTTCAGGAACCACCAGGTGAGCCGAGGACTGCCTGGGAGGGAGACTTCCCAAACCTCAGCCAGCATTAGCCCAGGGCACCTAAGCCTACAACTGCTATGGCATATTGCTTTGTTGCTGCTTTTAATTATCTAATATTAAAATGTTAATCAAGTTCTCTTATTAAGAATACAGATATGTTTGGTGTCTGGCCTTCTTCATGGTGTTTTTCACCTTTTTTTCCTAACTGGGGACACATTATGAGCACTAGTCTGGACACTGCCAAATTAAAAAAATGTGGATGCTATTACTAGAGGCTATAATAATGGTGACTGTAGAAATAAAAAGGTGAGGAAATAAAGACAAAGGGAAGGAAAGGAGAGTGGGAGAAAGGAAGGAGGAGAAAGATGGCACTTGTCTCTAACCACTTGGAGTTCTAATCAACAGAACATTGGAGTTACATCACAAACTGCAGATGTTACAGCCAGGATAGTGCCACCTGTGTGGCAATAGCACAGTTTAAATTCACTGCCTACCAGCCAGTAGCTTTAACAATATTAAATTCTTGATACATTAATTAAAAATTGAGGGGACTTCCGCCAAGATGGAGGTGTAGGTGGGAATACCTTGTGTCCTCGCACAACCAAATCTAAAAACAACAAAGTTTTAACAACAATAAACATAAACCACACAGAAAGTCGACCATACGGAGTCTGAAAACAACAAAATGCTCAGCTAAACCGGTAAGAGGGGTGAAGCCAGCAGCGGAGTGGGTTGGCCAAAAAGATCCCCAACGGAGGTGGTGTGCAGGCAGCCGAAGGCGCGGATCCCAGGTGTGGGCTGGCTACTGGCGGACACAGGCAAGAGGCACGGCTGGGTGTCTGTGGTTGGTGGAGCATTTGCCTGCAGATAAACCAGTGAAGAGGCAAGCATTGAGACCGCACAGAGCAGGGCGGCAGGCTCGCACATTTCCGCTCAGATAAACAGGCAGGGGCAAGTGGTGGGATGGTGGGACGGAGGGGGCGAGTGGAGAGGACCGCCATTGCCCCTCTCTGACCCACCCCCACATACAGCATCACAAACCACCAACCTGGGTGGCTCCGTCCTCGTAAACAACTAAGGCTGCACTCCTCATTTGTAACAGGCACAAACAGATAAAAACATGGCTCAAGAGCAACTCAGAGCCCCAGAGCCAATAAATCTAAGTGATGAAGAAATAGCCAAACTTTCAGATGCACAGTTCAAAACACTGGTGATCAGGATGCTCACAGAACTGGTTGATTTTAGTCACAAATTAGAGGAACATATGAAGGCTAAACTAATTGAAATGAATAGAAATACACAGGAAACCAATAGTAATGGAAAGGAAATTGGGACTCAAATCAATATAGTGGACCAGAAGGAGGAAAAAAATGAACAGAAAAGGACGAAGAAATAAGAGTTCAAAACAATGAGGAGAGGCTTAGGAATATTCCAATATCCGAATTATAGAGGTACCAGAAGGGGAAGAGGAACAGCCACCAGTGGAACACTTTTTCGAACAAATAATAAATGAGAATTTCCCCAATCTGGCAAAGGAAATAGACTTCCAGGAAATCCAGGAAGCTCAGACAGTCCCAAAGAAGTTGGACCCAAGAAGGAACATTAGCCAAGATTAAAATGAAGAAGAGAATCCTAGAAGCAGCAAGAGATAAAAGGACAGTCACGTACAAAGGAGCTCCCATCAGACTGTCAGCGGATTTCTCAAAAGAGACCTTACAGGCAAGAAGGGGCTGGACAGAGGTATTCCAAGTCATGAAAACCAAAGACCTACAACCAAGATTGCTCTATCCAGCAAAGTTTTCATTTAGAATGGAAGGACAGATAAAGTGCTTCTCAGATAAGACCAAATTCAAGGAGTTCATTATCACCAAGCCCTTATTATATGAAATGTTAAAGGGACTTACCTAAGAAAAAGAAGATAAAAAAGATGAACAGTGAAAGGACAGCAAACTCACAGTTATCAACAACCACACCTAAAACAAAGCAAATTAAGAGGACAGCTAGATCAGGAGTGAACCATAGAAATAAAGATCAAATGGAGGATTAGCAACAGGGGCGTGGGAGAAGGAGAAGGGGGTAGAAGGTACAGAAAATAAGTAGCATAGACAGTAGATAGAAAATAGGGTGGAGGGTAAGAATAGTAGGGGAAATACAGAATCTAAAGAACTTGAGACGTGTTCATGAACTAAAGGGGGAAATGGTGGGGGAGAGGTGTGCAGGATGGAGGGGAATGGAGGGGGGAGAAATAGAACAAATGTAATGGCATAATCAATAAAAATAAATATTTGTACTTGGGAAAAAAAGTGAAATGTGCGTTATTTCAAACTTTGGGCATTAAGTGAGACATCACAAATATTTTGAATTGTTCTATTTTAAACAGACAATAATTCAATTTCACTGTGCTATTCAGGAATTTACTACTAAAAGAGGGAATGTAGGGTTTTTTAAAAAATAGTTTTACTGAGGTATAATTTGCATACCATAAAATTCACTTATTATAAATATACAATATAAGGATTCTGGTAGATGTCCTGAGTCATACAACACCCATGACAGTCAGTTTTAGAATGTTTCCATCACTGCACAAATACAAGTGGTGTCTGGTCTCTGACAAAATTCATGCCAAGACCAAATTGCACCAGGCCATCCCACTCAAGGCCGATGTAAAGGCCAGTTTCCTTCTTTCTCACCTCATGACTCCAGTTGGTGACAACTTTGGCTCATTCTGGCTCCTGGACTCATTTTTCCCTTCCCTCTCTTCACCTTGTACTTTGGATATACACTCTGGGGTGGAGGCAGATGTTGTTTTCTGGATTCTGGGTTTTGACATACCCCACCTCCCCAGAGCCAATACCATCCATCCCACCTGCTACTTCTTTCAAATGGAGGCAGTTTCCTGCTGCTCCGGCTGTCTGCTCCTGTCTGACATACCGAAGATGAATTGCTTTTCCCAAAATTGGTTTTCCCTGGCACTTTGGGGTTACCTGTCTAGCACTGTTGAATATTTTCCATAGCAGTGGGATTCAAACTCTTCCAGAACAAATAACTCTTCCACCTTTACTAGGCATGGGTCTACCTTTACCTCCTCCAGTCTCTTCCCCACTTGGCCAGTAAAACTGGTGAGAGTACTGGTCCTGTTGGACTTGCTTTCTATGGTCTCCTTAAGCTACAAGGAGAGCTTAAGGAGACTTGCTTTCTATGGGACTTGCTTTCTATGGTCTCCTTAAGCTACGAGGAGAGCTTAAGGAGGCCCTCTTCTTTTTCCTACTGGGGAGGGTATTGATTCTTGTCTAGTTTGTTCACTGATGTATTCCAGGACCGTAGAACAATACCTGATTCATTGTTTGATTAGTGCCCCTAGCAGGCATTAATCACACAATGAATTAAATAGAATTGGAGTGCTGTAGCCCTCTTGTAAGGGTGCTGCATAAAGAGGACAGGAGTGTTTTCAGTTCCCTTCCATTTTGATAGCTGGAAAGCCCCTTGAGAAATAGGTTCTATTTGATCTATTTTAAGTTTATTATAGGTGTTTGAATATATTTTTTTCTGAGGCTCCCTGATTTACTGGGCCATCGCGGGTACTGATCTGCCCTACAGAACTGCTCACAAGCCTCTCTTATTTCTCTGCTCAGGCCAATCTTTGATGCTTTTCATCTGGGTTAGTTCCCCCAACTGGACCCACAACACCAACTGATCCAGCCTATTCTGAGACATTTGGGTAGCTGCTTCAATTGCTAGGCTCCCTTTTGGGGTTGTGATCTCCCAACTCCTCTTTTTGGCTTAGCGTTCTGTCAAATGGGGCCCCTTAAATTCTCCTTTCCATAGAGTCCTGGGAGGCCACGTTGAGCAACAGCTTTCAGGTGCCTCTTCATAAAGATTCTGGCATTCTCCCCAGTTTTAATTTCTGGCCTCACTATAGACTTCCTTTTTCCTTATAGTGTGCCACCAGGCCTTTCCTTTCTTTAGTGTGAGAAAATGTCATCTATCACAATCTTTTACAGGGATTCTGCATCGTTGGCCCTGTTAGTCAGAGCACTAAGGTGACACGGCTCTGGTCGTCCCCTTCTCCAATGATCCACTCTAGACGAGGACATTCTGGGTCCAAGTACTGGGTTAAAAGGCGCCTCGGCCTGCAGGCCCAGAGACCCAACCATTCCCACAAGCCTGCTCTGACTGTGGGTCTGGAAGAGCAGCATGTAGGCGAGCCCAGGCAGGCTGGCCATGCCTGGGGAAGGGGGAGGCGGCACGGGAGGCACTGGACAGCACCTGGGGTCCAGGCTGGAGAGCAGCTTAGTTGAAGAAGGGTCTGAGGTGGCCAGTGGTTTTGGGGCAGTGCAGAGGGCGGAATAAATAGGTGGAAGGGGCGAGGCAAGTACTGAGGGTGATGTTGAGGAAGAATAGGAATGTGGGCGGTGCTAAACGTTGTGCGGGGAGCGGAGTCAAGTTGTGGGCGGTGCATAGGGTGGAATTGGGCGGGGGAGATGCTGTGGGCGGGACTTACTGGGGACCGGAGGGTTAGACTGGTCTGGCGCGGAGCTGAGGGCCCCTGGCGAGTTTCGCCGAGGGTTGGACAGTGAGGGTAGGGCAGTGAAGTCAGGGCGGAGCCCAGGCAACGGGATTCGGGGTGGCCGAGGAGGGGCGAAGAACCTGCTGGGGTTGGGTGGAGGCCGACGATCGGTGGCGCTGCAGCTTCAGGTGTCCGGGAGGCTCCACGTCGCCTGGCGCCTGCAGCTTCCAAGAGCCCAGGCGGTTCCCAGCGCCCGGAGCCGGCCTGCGGTTCCCGCGAGGACATGGCTGGGCCGGGTCCGGGAGACCCAGACGAGCATTATGATTTCCTGTTCAAACTGGTGCTAGTGGGCGACGCGAGCGTGGGCAAGACGTGCGTGGTGCAGCGCTTCAAGACCGGCGCTTTCTCGGAGCGCCAGAGCAGCACCATCGGCGTAGACTTTACCATGAAGACGCTGGAGATCCAGGGCAAGCGAGTCAAGGTGGGAGGCCCGGCCTGGGGACCCCGGGCCGGGGTGGCCTGCTCTTTTTGGACATTGCGCAGCCCAAGCTCTGACGTGCACTAAGGGCGGCCAGGGCCCCTGGAAGGTTCTCGCTTAGCGGGGGTGGGGATTGTTCTGTTCCTCGGTAGTTAAAGTCCGGGATTATTCAGAGGTGTCTGGCAGACCCCTTTTGCTTTCCCTTTCCCTTCCTCCTGTCGGAGCAGGCCTGGGCCTTGGGATCTGAGCCAGGTTCAGTCTGCAAAGCGCCGGTCTTGAGTGTGTATGTGTATATTTGTGTGGGCGCTTTGGAGGTGGTGAGGAGAGGAGGCTCTGCTCTCTGTAGCTCATATCCTTTACTTTGCTCCCAGATAAGTGGAAGGCAGCCGAGCGCCTCAGAGTGCCGGACATAGAGGGACGCCTGGCTGGCCCGACCCTTCCTCAAGCACGGCCCTCAGGTGGGGAACCCTGCCTGAAAAAACCACCCGCGCCCTCCCCTCCCCCCACTGGGAGGGATCAGGAAGTAGTTGCTTCTTAGGACCCCAGGGCCCAAACTTTTAAGTCAGAATTTCCGGTCTTGGCTACGCCTCTCTGCAGTGGTTTTGTGGACCTGGTGGTGGAACTTTTTCTAAGGCCAGCACTAGGTCCCATCCCCCAGCTGGAATTTGATAGAAACTGAAAATTTCACAGATACCTGAAGGTAGGGGAGAGAACAGATCTTTTGGCAATGGCTCCGAATAGAAACAGCAGGATGTAGTTGCCACAGTGTTTTGGCAAATAATATTTGTGATTAATGAATCAGAATTTTTTAACATGGGTGTCGGCCCTCTGTAACAGAGACCAACAATGCCAGCACACAGTATTTTTTTTTCAGTAATTTTAGTTAACTGCACTGTACAGAAATCCTTTTCGTTCATGGTTTTGAGTTCACATGATCTCCAGGGCAACTCTTAAGAGCACTGGGCATGTGCAGTACAAGGCAAGCGTTGTCTCCGTGTTTTCAAGAAGTTGAGCCAGGGCAATTGGAATTCTTGAGCCCTGATGCTGTGAGGCTTTGTCACCTTGGTCTGCTGTAGCCTGCTCATAGTTGCCTTTGGCTGGGATACTTAGCTCTTTGTTCCTGCAGAAGTTGGATAATTTCTGTGTTGCCTCCTGCCTCTTCATGGACAAAAAGTAAGCCAACGGTCTTTACATGACCACAGTGCATCTAGAGTAGATGAGATGGTAGAAGCAGAAACTACCTGGCTGAAGGTTTTTGTTTTTGTTTTTAAATAGTTTTTTTCGGTTTCTGTGTGTTTTTGGTCTCCTTGGGATAGAAAAAAGGGCAAGGTGTGGCAAGCAGCACCAAGTCATTATTTGGGACCACCTCTTATTTAGAACATATAGCCAGGGAACGGTTGTGGGATGGGTGGAGTAATATCCATGGGGGAATTTCTTCCCTGTGATGATGTCAGAAGCTACAGGAATAGTGGAGTATAAAAATATAGGGATACTCAGCAGTGGCACTCTTGCAGGTTGTCAGCCTGTTTCCACTACAGTGTTTGTGGTGGCCCATGCTGACAGTGGTCAAGGAGGGCGTAGGGCGTTTCTGTTTATCTGATGAGATAACAACCTGTGCTCCTTTGACATACTGTGTACCTGACCATAGGTTGTTATGGCAGGTTATGGCAGAGCAGGCAGTTCTTACTTCTTTTCTTTATGATGACATCCAGATTGTTCTTAGGAGGCAGCTGGGTAGGACTGGAAATGGGAGAACAGTGTAGGTATGGTAAAGCCTTTAATAGTTATAATCATTGCCCTTCTTGAGAGTCTGTTGTGTGCCAGCTATTTTGTGGATGTGTTATTATTAACTCCCTTTCACACAGGACAGGTTTGCACCAGATCACACAGTGAGTGACAGAGGTGGAAATTTTTCTTCCGGTTTTTCTGACTCCAAAGTATTGAGGCCTTTTCCCTCCTTCTCAGAATCTGATTATTTGGAGTGGGAAAGCCTTTTGGCTGTTACTTATCTCCTCATTTTGAAGTTAGAGAAACCTTAAGCCCAGTGCACTGAGGAGGCTCTGAATTAAACCTGAGCAGCGGTGGGAAAAGGACTATCTCTAAGTCAGGACTTCTGGGCTCTACTGACTCATCAGGAGCAAATCATTTTTTTCTCTCTCAGAGACTCACTTATCATCAGTAAAATAACTTTGAGGTGTCTTCCAGCAATGTAATTAAAAAACAGAGGGTTATGAGGTTTAATTTACGTATAGTAAACCTTTCCCATTTTTAGGTGTACAGTTCTGTGAACTCTTACCAATGTATACAGACCTGTAACCACTACCGCAATCAAGGTATAATATACTTCTGTGAACCCAGAAAATCCCTGGTATCATTTTGTGTTATTGTCCTCCCCTCACTTTAGCCCCTAGCAATCACTGATCTGTTTTCTGTCACAATGTGATTTTTCCTGGAACCTTTGATGAGCCAGATTTTATTGTTTCTGCAGAAGCATGTCCACAGATTTAGTTTAAAACCTTTCCAGGGTGTGTTCAGGGTCCAACAAGTATCCAGTATTGTCTCCTAACTTCCTTTCCCTATAATGCTGGCTTTTGTTAGAGCTTAAGGAACCTTAGAAACAGATCACTTGGTGGTTTTCCAGTTCTTCTGACCTCCAGTGGTTGGGGACATTGGTGGATTGAGGGGGAAGACCAAGAGACCACAGATTCAAAAGAGCCAGCAGCTTCTCACGCAGCCAAAACAATACTACTTTTACTTAGTTTTATATTGAGGTTCCACTTGTTTGTATCTGACTAAAAAGTTCTGCTAAAAAAAAAGTTTGAAACATCATAGATGTAGTTAAACCCCTTTATTCCTGCGGTCACTTCCTTTTGCAACCAGAATAACATCCAAACTTCTTACCTGAAGAAATGGACCCTGCCTGCCTTGCCACCGTCATCTTTTTTCCCGTGCCTCTCACTCAGTACTTTCTAGCCTTACTAGCCTTTTCTGTCCTTCAAACATGTTTGCCTTGGGCCCTTTGTATTTTTGCCCCCGGCTGTCCATACTCTATCCCAAGGGCACTTGCTTGGGACCACTGCATCATCCTTTGGGATATGCTGAGAATACCACCTCCTCAGAGAGGACTTCTTTGGCCTCCCCAACCTTTTTCCCATATTGATTTCCCAAGGGTGATCGCATAGCACTTACCCATACTTGAAATTACTTTGTTTGTTGTTCTCTATATAATTTTAACTCCATGAAAGCTCAGAGATTCAGGCTACCTTGCGTTATCTGTGAATTCCTGCATCTACATCAGTGTCAGTGCTGTTCAGTACATGTCTATTAATTGATTTTTATTTATAGAGAGGAAGCAGAGGCCAAAATAAGTGAAGTGACCAACACGCCCAGGACATATGCAAGTCAATGACAAAACCAGGATTTGAACCCAGTCAGCTTGGCTTCTAAAGCAGTGCTTTTTTTTTTTTTTTTTAATGTTTCTGAGTCCCTCTGAGTTCATAATGATGACCCTGAGATCTTGCAAGTTAATGAATCTAGGGAAAGTGCAGCTGTGGCCACTGCACTGCGAGAGAAGAGTATAGACTTGGGTATTTTATAGATTTCAATTGTAAGGATTGAAACCCCAAAGAATTTCATAGTAAATAGAACAGCATCTGGCTGGTTTCAAGCAGCTCACATAACCTGCTGTGCTGGTTAGTAAAGCTCTGTATGTGGTGATTGGTTTCTGTACCCTATCCCCTACAGATTCATTTTGCCTTAGCTATGCAGATTGAATCTCAAGAGAGAACCTGGGCCCCAGCTGGTGTAGCTTAGTGGATTGAGCGAGGGCTGTGAACCAAGGGGTCGCCAGTTCAGTTCCCAGCTGGGGCACATGCCAGGGTTGCAGGCCAGGTCTCCAGAAGGGGCTGTGTGAGAGGCAACCACTTGTCGGTGTTTCTCTCCCTCTCTTTCTCCCTCCTTCCCTCCCTCTCTCTCTAAAAATAAATTTAAAAAATATAATCTTTTAAAAGAAAAAAAAAGAACATGGGTGCTTCTAGTCTTTCAAATTGTAGAGTCTCTGAAAGAAAACACTGGATTAGGAGTCTGAAGGTCTGGGTTTTTTGTCCAACCCTGCCACAACAGTGGGTAGTTCCTTTTCTCTTTTTGAAGCTCCAGGCTTCCTTATTTGTAAATTGGGACTGATTATCTTCATTTGGCCTACTTAGTCTGACTGGAAAGCTATACACATGCTTAAAATAGTTTATAATTCTCATTATGTATTTTGAGTAGACATCATCCACATCGTTCAGGATTTCAAAATTTTCAAGATGTGAAGTGGAAAACAGTACTTTTTTCCACATTTGTCCCCCATCCCACTCAGAGCCCTCTAATAAGAGGTATTCAGCTCTGACTGGTATGGCTCAGTGGGTTGGGCATCATCTCTCAAACTGAAAGGTTGCTGGTTTGATTCCTAGTTAGGGCAATGCCTGGATTGCTGGTGTGTAAGGCAACTGATCTATGTTTCTCTCCTTCTCTCTTCCTCTCTCTAAAAATAAATAAATAAAATCTTTTAAAAATTCAAAAGGATATTAAAAAGAAAGAGGAAATCCATACTAACCCATTTCTTGTCTATCCTAAAAGTGCTGTTGTAATAAAACCAAGGAATCACAAATAAAAGGAATTATTCTATTGCAGTTGTTACCATTTCCTTCTTTAGAATAGAAAAAATGTGTTTTTAATTAAAATTTTATTTTTCTCTTCTTTTTTATAAGTATATTTTATTGAGTATGCTATTACAGTTGTCCCATTTTCTTTTTTTAAAATATATTTTATTAATTATGCCATTACAGTTATTCTATTTTCCCCCTTCATTCCCCTCCACCCTGCACACCCCCTCCCCCACCATTCCCCCCTTTAGTTTATGACTACATGTCTCAAGTTCTTTAGATTCTATATTTCCCATACTATTCTTGCCCTCCCCCCTATCTATTTTCTACCTATCGTCTATGCTATTTCTTCTCTGT